GATCACCGAGTGGGCGGCCGAATAAAATATTTGAGTGAGGAGCTTGAGGTTGAGAAGCACGATAGGCTTGAGGCACATGAATGCGCCTGGTCACATCGCTGGGTGGCCCAAATTTTGGAGCTGGACCTCAGGGAGGAGCAATCAGCCCATGAGCCGTTTGAGGTGACTATTAAGGCCTTGAAGGCTCGACTTGCTTACTTAGACTCAGAAGGGTATAAGGCGGAGGTGGTGGAGGAATTCTGCCACCATGTCCTAGGCAATATCGAAGTAGGATTAGCTTGTAAAGTTGGATTCAACTATCTCACCTTCTTGCTTCCTCCCAACTCTCAATCTGCCCCAGACAGTCTCAACCCCCATCGAGTCTCTTGTTGCCTTGATTTCTTGAAGGATATTGAGACGAGCGAAGGGGGAATAACACTAGAGGCAGATGACGGGGACGACAAGGGCGAGCCCAAGAATGATCAAGAATCTACTCCCTCTCACCCAAGCATCACCTGTCGTTTAGCATGTCCCAGCTCCCTAGTCAAGTGCCACTCTCCCAAGTCGTACACTCGACCCACGCCAAGATGAATGAAGATCGACCCTCCTGAGCTTTTATCTGTTTTCCTTCTCTTTTATTATTATTATTATTATTATTATTATTATTATTATTATTATTATTATTATTATTATTATTATTATTATTATTATTATTATTATTATTATTATTATTATTATTATTATTATTATTAATGTTAATAATGTAATCATTCAGACATGTCAATGAAAATTTACTCCTCTCTTTTATTATGGAGTTCCCATTCGCCTTCTATTCTGTTTCGTACATTCATAGTTTTGCTTTGAGTGGCCGATAGCGAGGGTGAGTAGATTTTACGTGGTGAGTGACTTGTGCACGTGGGCGAGTCGACTAGCTCGCCCTTTACGCTTCTCTTATTGGTGATGGAATGATTTAGGCTTATTTATAGTTAGCGAAGGTCTTTGGATTAGGGTTGACCGAAAGGTTAGGGTGCCTTGGTTTTAATGGTGCCAAGGTCTTTTGAGGTCGGAGTTAACCAATAGATTGGATTGCCTTGTGTCTTATGGTGCCAAGGGCTTTTGCTGAGTGCCTTAGACTTACTAAGAGCTCTAAGGTCTTTCAAAGTCAGAGTCGACCAAAAGATTAGAGTGCCTTGGTATTATGGTGCCAAGGGCTTTTTCTGAGTGCCTTAGACTTAATAAGGGTGCCAAGGTCTTTTAAGGTCGGAGTCGACCAAAAGATTGGAGTGCCTTGGTCTTATGGTGCCAAGGGCTTTTATTGAGTGCCTTGAACTTAATGAAGATGCCAAGGTCTTTCGAGGTCAGACCCCCCCCCCTCGAGTCTCTTGTTGCCTTGATTTCTTGAAGGATATTAAGACGAGCAAAGGGGGAATAACACCTATGTAGCACGGACACGGATCCGACACGGCCATCCGACACGCCGACACGAGGCAAGTCCTAAAAAATACATAGGATACGTGTGTTCGACACGTGTGTCCGACACGGGCACGACACGAAACGGCTTCATGTTATGCATGTCCGTGCTTCATAGAATAACACTAGAGGCGGATGACGGGTATGACGAGGGTGAGCCCAAGAATGATCAAGAATCTACTCCCTCTCACCCAAGCACCACCTGTCGTTTAGCCTGTCCCGGATCCCTAGTCGAGTGCCACTCTCCCAAGATCGACCCTCCTGAGCTGTTATCTATTTTCCTTCTCTTTTATTATTATTATTTTTATTATTAATGTTAATAATGTAATCATTCAGACATGTCAATGAAAATTTACTCCTCCCTTTTATTATGGAGTTCCCATTCGCCTTCTATTCTGTTTCATACATTCATAGTTTTGCTTTGAGTGGCCGATAGCGAGGGTGAGTAGATTTTACGTGGTGAGTGACTTGTGCACGTGGGCGAGTCGACTAGCTCGCCCTTTACGCTTCTCTTATTGGTGATGGAATGATTTAGGCTTATTTATAGTTAGCGAAGGTCTTTGGATTAGGGTTGACCGAAAGGTTAGGGTGCCTTGGTTTTAATGGTGTCAAGGTCTTTTGAGGTCAGAGTTAACCAATAGATTGGATTGACTTGTGTCTTATGGTGCCAAGGGCTTTTGCTGAGTTCCTTAGACTTACTAAGAGCGCTAAGGTCTTTCAAAGTCAGAGTCGACCAAAAGATTAGAGTGCCTTGGTATTATGGTGCCAAGGGCTTTTTCTGAGTGCCTTAGACTTAATAAGGGTGCCAAGGTCTTTTAAGGTCGGAGTCGACCAAAAGATTGGAGTGCCTTGGTCTTATGGTGCCAAGGGCTTTTATTGAGTGCCTTGAACTTAATGAAGATGCCAAGGTCTTTCGAGGTCAGAGTAGACCAAAAGATTAGAGTGCATTGGTCTTATAGTGCCAAGGTCATTTGATATCTGTGAAGATTGTGCTACGAGAATATAATATCGGAGGTAGGATTCAAAGATAAGAGAAATTCCCATACAAATTATTGAAAATATTTTTTGAGGTGCTCGATATTCCAAGGATGATGCGGGATCCTTCCATTAGGGCTTCTTAGTCGATACGTGCCAGGGTGCAACTCTTCGAGGACTGTGTAGGGTCCATCCCAGTTGGGAGATAACTTGGCGCGTCTGTTGTCTTTGTCAAAAGCAGCGTTTTAAAGAATAAGACCACCAATGTTGAATCTCCTGGGTTGAACTTTCTTGTTGTAGTATCGGACGACGCGCTGCTGGTTGATGACTTGGGATCAGAGCGCTTTATATCAGACTTCGTCTGGGAGATCGAGTCTAACCCCAAGCTCTTCTGCATTTAAGTCCTCGTCAAATTGCTGCAATCTGATTGTCAGCATGCCGACCTCGATCGGGGCGACCACTTCGGCTCCATAAGCTAGCTTGAAGGGGATTTCCCCTGTCGAGTTCTTATGAGTTGTGCGGTAGGACCATAGGATACCAAGTAACTCTTCAACCCAATTTCCAGCCGCCTCGTCCACCATCTTCTTCAGAGCTTGGAGGATATATTTGTTGGTGGTTTCGTCCAGTCTATTACACTTGGGGTGTGCAACCAAGGAGAACTTAAGGTGCATGTTGTGCTCTTTACAAAAGCTTTAGAAGCCCCCGCTATAGAACTGAGTGCCACTATTGTTACAAAGAGGGGCACACCAAATCGGCACACAATAGACCTTCACACAATATTAGTGACATTGTTTTCATAAATTCTAGCTAAAGGCTCAACCTCAATCTATTTGGTGAAGTAGTTGATGGCTATAATTAGGAACTTCTGCTGCCCTGAGGAATTAGAAAAGGGCCCAATAAATCCAGGCCACATTGAGCAAATGGGATCGTACTCAGAATGGAGGTTAGTTTGGTAGCTGTTTCTCATGGAATGGCCGAGAAGAGTTGTCATTTCTCGCACAAAGAGGTGAGCCTCTTGGACTCGGCAAGTATGGATGGCCAACGATACCCCTGGTGAATGACTTTTTGGGGGAGAGCTCTAGCCTTGGGGTGATTCCCACGCATTCCCTCATGGATTTCTTTGAGAACATAACTAGCCTTCAATGACTGGAGGCACCAAAGGTAGGGTACCACTCCACCGTTAGAGTATAACATCCGATAGAGTTGATCGTTGATCATAAGGTAGGGGCGAGCATTCCTTTGTAAACTCCTGGCTTCAGTGCCATTCTATGGTAGGGCGCAGAGGACTTGACCAATCCTAAAGTCAGCAAAACAGGCTAATAGCTCTGTAGCCCTTCAATTATAGGACCATCCTTGAACCTTTGGCTGACTACTCTCCATTCACCTGACGAACAACAAGTTGGGAGTTTGCTAAAATGTAGAGGTGCTCGACCTTGACTCCCAGTGTGGCTCGAAGGCCAGCTAGGAGCACTTCATATTTGGCCTCGTTGTTTGAGACTGAGAAGACAAAAAACTGTTCGTGGATCGACCCATCTGGGCTACATGGGACTACTTTGCTATCGATTTCTCCAGATGATTCCTTTAACAACCACTAATAGGCAAACTTCTGAGAATCATATGAGGTGGTGCATCTTAGCTGAGGTACAGGGTCTTGACTTCTTGAGAAGTTGATGGCCCCTACCGGGCCAGCGGTGAAGGCGCGACTGGTTCATTATCTGATAAGTCGACTCAATGAGGAAGTTGGCCAAGGCTTGGGCTTTGATAGTCGTCCTTGGCTTAAACTGTACATCGCACTTTCTTAGCTCGATCGACCAGGTGACCATACTTCTTGAAGTGGTGACGCTGCTGAGAGCTTTCTTCAAAAGCAAGCTCGTCTGAATGATTATAAAATGCGCTTGAAAGTAAGGATGAGCCTCCTAGTTGTGGTAAAGAGGATGAAGGCAACCTTCTTTATGAAAGGTAGTTGAGTTCACTAGTTTTTAATATTCGGAGGACATAGTACACCGGCTTCTAGGTGTTATCCTCTTCATGAACCAGGATAGAGCTGACGGCTTCGGGAGAGATGGCTAAGTATAGATACAAGGTCTCTCCTTCTCCAGGTTGACTCGGTAGCGGCTTAGGTCTTAAGTACCTCTTAAGATCTTTGAAGGCCACGCTACATTTGGTCGTCCAACTCTTGCTTTCCTTGAACTCCTTGCTTCATGTTAGCATCTTGAAAAATGGGAGGGCATTTGGTCGTCCAACTCTTGCTTTCCTTGAACTCCTTGCTTCATGTTAGCATCTTGAAAAATGGGAGGCTCCTCTTGGCTGATTTGGAGAGAAAATATTCATGTTAGCATCTTGAAAAATGGGAGGCTCCTCTTGGCTGATTTGGAGAGAAAATACCCTAGTGCCGCGATCTTCCCGCTTAGCCTCTAGAAATCCATCAGTGTGCGAGGCTCGGGTAATCACTCTATAACGGATATTTTCTTTGGATTGATCTCAATGCCCCTCTGGGTGATCATGAACCCGAGGAACTTCCCGACTATACCCTTGTAGTTTGGACAAGTTCTCTTGATCACAAATACTAGAATTCATTTGTTTGCTCGAAAAAATCCCAGAGCCAGAGAATAGAGAAGTTGCACTAAAAATATATATAAAAAAGGGAGGAATATGAGGTTTTTCATCTTACTGAATACTTTGGATTTGACATCCCTGTTCACATTCCCGTTCCTTGGTGCTTCCTCTGTTCTTTCTTCTACACTTTTTTTTTTGTTTTATAGTCGGTGATGGAATAGGAATAGTTACATCCCCGAGTTGTCCTAAGCTTATTTTGAGAATCGGCTACATAGTAGCAAATTTATATGCATGTATTAATGGGTACCAATATACGCACGTACATGGTTCAAGACACTAATACATATATTTCTACGTGCGTAATGTGTGTATATACACAATGCCATTGCAAGTTGTGTTTTCATTATTTCCTACTTATTGTATTATTTAAAATCCAAAATACCCATGTTAAACATCAAGAAAAGGGCATTGGGTATGATAAAGATAATCGATAGAACTAGAATTGAAATTGCACACGCAAAATGTAACATAAATTACCTCACTGAAAGGATCTGTTACGTCATCTCGCTCGATGCTACTTTCCTGAAACAGAAAAGTTCATTAGATTCGAGATGAAATTTGATACAGCTACTAATAGCAACCCGCTTACATAGTTTGGAAAGATAACCATGTCAACATTGCTAGGTACATCTGCAAGCAACCTCCTTAAAGAATATTCTAGAGCCCTAGCTGGATGCATCAATTCATCAGTATCTAGATGGATGATCCAATCCATGCCAGCATTCTACACAAACAAAAAATACTTACTGTTTCTATATTTTCTGTCCAATCACAAAATACTACAAAAAATAAAGTTTCGTATCAGTGTTTATAAAACTTATGCAATTGCCTTTAAATTAAAAAAAATTATGCAATTACAATTTCTATGAAGTTAAAACAATGTCTCAAAGAAACTCTTTTAAGAGAGATGCAATGACAAAGAAAATAGAAACAAGAAGCTCACTGCAAGGTTAAGGTTAGCCAACAACACAATTGAAAAAAGTAATTCTAGTTATGATAAAATGGCCAAATGCGCCATGTCCGTGCCATAACAATAGCCATCTCCATGTTGAGTGATTGTTTTACAAATAACTCATAGTTGCAAGGTTTGTAAAAGAAGCATGCTAGCCACGTCTCGCTCCAAATACGACTACAAATTTAAGGGGAAAACACATTAGGAGGAAAACGATAATAGATGCTCACTATCACATGCCCCCAACAGATATTCCAATAACTTATCAACAATTACAAAAAGCTACATCTTTCAAAGAAAGTAGTAATCAGACATCACTACACACGTCTCGCTCCAAATACGACTACAAATTTAAGGGGAAAACACATTAGGAGGAAAACGATAATAGATGCTCACTATCACATGCCCCCAACAGATATTCCAATAACTTATCAACAATTACAAAAAGCTACATCTTTCAAAGAAAGTAGTAATCAGACATCACTACTGTCAAACAAGTAAATAACTACTATGCTCTAGCACAGTTCTTTTTTTTTAAGCAATTCCAGTGAAACACAGTTCATAAGATAAAAACTCAAAGGTAGAGAGTACTTTTGTAGGGACAATCCATGCTCCCTAAGCCCTCAGGAGTATATTGACCCCTTCTATTTAAGGTAGAGAGTACTTTAGTCCACGGATTTTTCTAGGTTTGACAGGCAAAGAATATTATCACTTCTTAAAATTTTCGAAATCCCATATGCAGCAAAACGATCATATGAAAAGAAATAGATTTACTGTAGCAGATGGATATCTCTAATAAGAAATGGATTTCCAACGTGAAGACATCAAAATTCATTGCAACTATAATCAAAAAAATATTTTTTTTATTTTCCACCTTCCGTATTTGTATAGTACGAGTTGCAGTATTAATCCTCAAATCATATACTACAGAGAGAATAGATAGAGAGGGGAAAGAACCGAGAAATTATAGCAATTGCGGTAAGTGCTCTACAGGAATAGCTAATATATGAGGAGGAAAACCCATTAATTATGAAAACTAAAAACAATACCTTGTTAATTTTGCATATCCTTGTATACACAGCAAGGAAAAAAAATAACTCATAAAAAGAAGTCTGTTATATGTTATTGCTTTCATGAACCAATAATTATTCAATATTTCTCCTTAAAGATAGTTGAATAATGTTTTGAAGTAGTTTCATTGAACCATAACATGCATGCGAAGCTAAAAAAAATGAGGTACTAGTAACAGGAGTTTCGTTTATCAATTCATTGATTACTTCTAACACGAAATTTGTGGAACAACTACTAAGCTAATAGGCTCATGAAACATTACAGGATTAACTATAGTACCCAAGTAAGGGATTAATTAAACAGCAAAAAGAAAAGGGAAAAAAAAAATTGAGATCACGACTTAGCCTAAGAAGCCAAAAGAAGATTTAGTGATTACCTAGGTCACGCAGTCAGATCAGTGCCTAAATATCACTGAAAAAGAAGGAAAAAAACCCAAACAAAATTAATGTCAATTCCTAAAATGATAAGGAAAAAACTTCACGAAAAGGGAAAAGACTTTGAAATTATAGAGAAGAGCACATCTGTCCGGCAGATTTCGGCGGCAGCCGATCAGGAAATAAAGAAAGAAGAAAAAAGAAAATCAAAAGAGGAGGAGAATGTGTCACCGGCAGAGAGGCGTTCGTGGTGGTGGAGGCGCTGAAGGCAGGTGCAGCTCGTGGAGTGCCTTCGAGATTGGCAGAGTTGGAATGAATAGAGAGAGAGAGAGATCCAATGAAGAGGAATGAAGAAGAGGAGAAAACTTCACGAAGAAGGAAATTAAAGAGGGGTGCTTCGGTAGTGCTCCGAAATTAAGCACTTTTCTCATTTTTAAATAGTAGAAATTTCGAAAAATAGGCTGGAAAATGGGAAGGATAATAATGTACTTTTCTCTACTATCTTCAAACCTATTATATTGTAAACATTATGGTAACCTATTTGTGTTATTATATTGTAAACATTATTACTGAGTTAAAAATAACTATTTTTACCAAGAACTGTGTATTATGTTAATATTTTTGGAATAATATAAGAATTAATTAATTAAAATATTCTGTCAAATGACTCATAATTCAGAATATATTGTTTTAATAAAATATCAAATTATTCCCCTCTAAGTTTTTAGTAAGTACACTGCAAAATATAATTTCTGTTATTTATTAATTATTTTAATAAAATATAAATATAAATATATAATGTAATATGTTTTTAATAAAATATAGAATTTATAAAGAGTTCAAATATAATTATCATCTTGTGGTGTAAAGGGGGCAAGCATTGAGAAATTAATAAGCTTGTTGCTTTCTCTTTGTTGAGCTAAAGGTTAATTGCTCAAAATTTGGAAACGCTAAGTATCAGAAAACCCCTTAACTTTGGACCATTGTCAAATAACCCCCTACCATTAGATGATTATTAGTTAAAACCCACTACCTTTTAAAATTCAGAAAACCCCTTAAATTTAGGGATCATTAATTATAAAACACACTTTAACATTAGTATTTTATTGAAAAAAAACTTCAACAGTGCAAATTTTCACATGGGTGGGTAAAATTATGCAGATAGATAGTGTCTCCGGTGAAAATTGAGGTTCGAACTTTTAGGAGGGTTTTCTAATAAAGTCTTTGAAAGTTAAAAGGGGTTTTTGATAACCCCTAAGAAATAGGGAAAAAAATCATGAAATCAGAAACTCAGTGTTTAGAATTATTGTCGGTTCAATGTAATCCAAGTCCTTCTCATCATGAGAAAAATGCAACACTAAATGAAAACATCCTCCATGGCCAAACTTGAGAATTATGGAGAGGGCATAGTTAAGACAATTTTTCTTACAAACCCTAAAGCTAAGCGAAGTTTCTGATAGAAAGTTATGAGCTGAAAAACATCCAAAGTTTAGAGAGTTTTCTGATAATTACACTTTTTTGAAATTAAATGGTATTTAAGTATTGTTTGGCTAAATATTAAAGATGTAAGAGATTAATATAGAAAAAGCTCAATAAAGCTAGCACGTTACTGTTATACATGAGCCCGTGAATGTCATTTTCATTTTTTTGTGGGCAACAACAGTCAAGCGGCTAAGCTTTCATGAGAAAGTAATGAGCATGTTCCTTTCTCTCTTTTTAGTAAAATGTTAACGGGTTCACAACTAGCTGGTGGTCCAAATGAATTTTCCAACTAAAGAAAATGTTTCCTTGTGCAATTTTACACACCCATGTGAAAATTTTCGACTAATGCAGTTAGAGAAATTTTTTTTATAAAATCTTAAAGTTAAAGGAATTTTCTATAATATTCCTTAAGATCTTTAAAAAAAATGGTTTGGGGTGGGGGTTCTAATATGCAAAAACCTATAGGTTCATATTCATCCAAAGTTAATGTATTTCCTAATATTTAGCCTATAATATATTTGAAAGAGATAGGTAGGATAAGTTATCCCAATTGTATGACAAACACAACATATTTATGGGTTGTTAATGTTGTTAAAGTGCGAAGAGTGTTATAATATTTTTTTTAAATTGCCGCTCAAAATGCATCTATAATCACTAAAATATCCTCATTCAAATTCTCAATTACTTCATACATGTGAATGTGGGAGCCCACCCACGTGTTCACACGTTTTGCAAAAACGCTTGAACGAGACCATGGAGAACTAAAATAGGATACGTAGGCCCTGAAGAGTAATGATAGAACAGCTAGCGGTCCCTGAACCGAGCTGACCTTTTTCTAATCTAGGCCGACAAAAGAAATTTTTTTTTTTTCCCCATAACACATTTGGAATAGTGCAGATTCCTTTGTCTTTGTATGTAGGTGCAACCGTGCAAGCCACATAAAATCATATATTCATGCAAGGAACACGGACCAAGGTCACTGTCATTGTTCATATATATGCATATGGGTCAGGGTCCTCGAAAGTGCTATAGAGATGTATAGAGAATCAATCCACTTTCTACAATGTGGGGATATTTAACCTATATCCATCAATTTAAACAGTATCCCATCCAACACTCCAAAGAATATAGCCAAATGGTAAAAGAAGTAAAAAAAATATTATGAAATTTATTCACTTATAATACAAAACGAAATTAAAATTTATTCACTTATAAAATAGGTAAATGGTAAAAAAAAGCTACTGCTGGTGCATGTTTTTATTATATTTGGATTGCTAAATTTGCTGCTGCGTTCCAAAGGAAAAGCCCAATTGTGAAGGAATGCTTACAGCGGATTGTTTTTGACACAAAGATAAACTGCAACAAGATTAGTCGGCTTCATGATACAATGAAGAACAGAGATTGGTGTGAGGCTATGCATATATTTCCTAAGCTTGTAAAGGAAAGAAGTTAATTAGCTTGTTTCAAAGCTTTCCTATGAGGAAGAACCACTAGCGCTGCATCTTTATCAACCTGAGTTTTTTAGAGCCTTTATTGCCCACAACAGCCAAAGGCATATGACTTCCAACTCACATTACCTTTTATTGGAGTTCCCAAAATGGAAAGATAGTACAAGAAGTAAACAATTAATACAGAGAAGTAATAATGAGTTTTGGTGACCCTCCGTAGAGCTACTATATAAAGTTGATTGACAGTTTTGACATATATTGAACATATATAAAAGCCTAGGTTCATTCCAACTCTTGGAATCTGGATTGAAATAGGGTATATAGGCCCAAAAGATGGGCTCTTTGTATACAGAAAATACAGTTAATACATATTTATACATAAAATCAATGATCCTATTTAGAAAATTACAACACGAGCATAAGTACGTCGAGCGAAATAATCTAAATAAGGAAACCCTCATGTATATACCTTGTAGCTCAAATTGTAAATCCCTAACAATAAGAGGATTTTAGTATTTAGGAAATTACAACACGAGCATAGGTACGTCGAGCGAAATAATCCAAACAAGAAAACTCTCATGTATATACCTTGTATCTCAAATTGCAAATCCCTAAACACCAAACCCGAAATCTAATACAGGAACAATAATAAAAAGAAGACAACCCATCTCAGAACTTAAAATACTGTATCATGCCATAACTCACATAAGTGTCATGCCCAGTCTATGCAAGTATAAGTGTCATACTCAAGGTCTAAACCGGTGTCCAACACATGGACAAAAACTAGATGTAGTGGGTGTCCAACACATGGACTGCATATGTAAATTGTCCAACACATGGACTGAGAAATGAATGTCCAACACATGGACTGAACGTGATAAATGTCCAACACATGAACTACACATAATAATTGTCCAACACATGGACTAAATAAAATATATGAAAAGATGCATGTACACTGATGTCACACGTGTCTTGGTGTGCAAATCTAAACTCGTGTCCGCAAGTCATCTCACATGTAGCAATACAAAATAAACATAAATTTATAATATCAAATATTCGAGGCGACTCCTCGTTCACATAGAAGCACACAATGATAGTAAACATGTCCAAAAAGTTTCAGTTAAAACGAAACAATCCAAACAGATCCAAACTGAGGAAAAATTAGAAATTTCCTCATCAGTCGACTCATGAGTCGACTGGGATCATCGGTCAACTCATTGATCGACCTAACAGACAGAAAAGAAGAAAGCTAAAAATTTCCCGTCAGTCGACTCATTGGTCGACTCATCAGTCGATTAATAAGTCGGCTGATAGGTCGACTGAGCAGACAATTTTCCAGTTTCGCATATGATGTGTGTTTTTGAAAAATTTTCAAACTAAAATAATTATTTTCATCATTTTCAGCAGCATATTTTCGATTCTAACATAAGTGTACAACTGAAACGAAAGATTTGCATGTAATTACTTACATTAAAACCTTAAATATATTTATACATGTTTAAAAACGTATTGTAATCGATAAATCTCAAAGAAACTCTTGTTTAAATCTAATTCCAGATATGGATCTACATTACAAAACGTTGGTGAGTTTTTTTATTAACTGAAACATTTAAATCTTGCAACCCATATTATAAAGAATCTATCTTTATACACAAAATATGTTTTAGGCTAAAAAATCTGAATTAAACTCAGTAAAAATTATACAAACAGTGGGAATAGGGTTGGGCGAGATGTTACTCGCCTCTGATGTGCTACAAAACTCTTGAATATGCAAGAGAATGATCTCCTTCACTGCACTGCACAAAATTCCGTTGCAAACCCCTTCAAAAATCCTCCAAATCGCCAAAATCCGAGCTAGGGTTTGAGAGGGAAAGAGCTAGGGTTTGAGAGGGAAAGAGGGGGGCTAGGGTTTTGTGAGATCTGATGGGTTTTGGGGTTGGTTTTGGGTAAAAGAAATTATATATGAGCGGTCAAATCCGAAAAAAAACCGAACAGACCCGCAAACTAAAAGAAAAACTGGAAATCAGCCCGTCAATCGACTCATAGGTCAACTCATAAGTCGACTGAGCAGACATTTTCCAGATTCGTGCATGTTTTGCTTATTTGCCAAAACCAATGCATAATACTCTATAAAAATACACTCATACATCTCTATTAACTTGCTATCCAGTATATCCATGTCCTTAAGCTATTTATCATAATAAAAATTATTTATCACCAAGAATTCACATATCTTCACAACAAAAATATGGGGTTTTACATTCTTCCCCCCTTAAAAGAATTTCATCCTCGAAATTCAGAAATCATACTTAAACAAATAATAATACTAGAAAAGCACGTCGAGGGTTTAATTCAACCCACATACATGAACATTGTTGGCCTTCTTATTTTGATGATGTTTAACAAACAATTTACCACTAATGTTGTTTGTCTAGTATTTGTGTTTTCTTATTTATTATAGACAAACAACGTTGTTGGAGGATGGATGGATTGAGCCTACATGATCATATCAAGAGGAGGTTGGCGGAATTGTGGAGTGAAGCAACATACAATTCAAGTTAAAGATTAAGTTCAAGCTTCATCCGCGAGATTACCAAGTAGAGCTTATTGAAGACCAATCAAGCTTGGGTAATTTAGTTTAGGAATTTATATTATGTGTGTTAGTACTTTAAGCTCAATCATATACACACATACACGTTTTGGTTTTTGTATATATAGTTATATATATA